TATTATTATTTTTTTTTTATTTTTAACTACGGAATCAAAGGGAGGGACAGTCTTCTTGACGGTATTCCTTAGCGACCTTGATCTTGAGATCAAGGTCCAAAGAACATGTCAAGGCCCTATCGGTTTTTAGAGTAGCAACCTATTATTTCGACGCTTGAGGTATATGAAAGCGTAGATTTTTATTCTGTTATTATGATCTTAAACGTGACTTTAAGGTCAATGGTCAAGGTAAGGTAAGGTCAAGTAATAGTTCCGGCTGTCATTTTTCATTTCCGACCATGGAATAGAAGGGACTCTCAATTTTTTAGTGACCTTAAGATCAAGGTCACTAAGGAGTACTGTCAGGTATCTACTCAAAGACTGTCACTCCCTCTGATCCCGTAGTTAAAAATAAAAAATTACAGTAAAAATCAACATTTGACCTTGAACTGACATTGACCGTGACCTTAAGGTCATTGGTAAAAAAAGCAATCTAATTTTACAAAATTATTTTTCAGTGTAGTTTCGTTTTCTGCTACTCCGTTGCTCTTATATAATTGACTTAAAGTGACAGGTAACAACAACTGGCAACATTGCACTGTGTGGTATAAAGAGCTTATTTTTATACAAATAATTAAATATTTATTTATAAAGTAATATTTTGTAAACTATTAAAATTTTGATACCATTCTTTAATTATATAGGGTTCCAATTTTTTTTATTCACAGTATGTATATTCATATTTTTAGTATTTATAAGTTACAATTTTTCTAAAATGAATTAAGTATATAAAAAATGAGGGACTTCCACAATTTATAAAAATAAAATATAAATCAATTTCTCTGTTATTAGTTATATGTAATCCTTCTTGTCTTCCTCTTCATCTTCTTCTCGAAAATTTTTATTAGAGAAAGTGGGAAAATGGTATTAGGTTAAGTAGGATATGAATATGTTGGAATACTTTTGATGACAAAAGAGTTCGCTACAGACAAAAACTACCAAACACTTTTATCCTAAACCTTCCCAATGAAACACCCAATAGTAGGATCATATTCGATGCAAAGTAATAAATCATTGCCTGTCAAGGGATCCAATGCAGTACGCTTTTAAGGGTTTAGAAATTGAATAATTTCTTTATACATTATGAAAGGCCGAGGGGATCAGTTTACGTCTGGCACCCTTGTTCCTACAAAAATTCCTTTATTCTCATAAACTATTTATTTTAAATGTAATTTATTATAAATTCAATTTGTTTTTTAAATTCCACATATGTACTACATTTTACCTCTGTACGCGCCACTGTTGTTTACTTGTTTTTTGGAGGCGCTCTCTGATTTACAACCAAGCTCGCCAGGTTAGTATTTGACGTATAACCGACCACGTCGTACACTCAATGCACCTGGGCGACTACAGCTACTACCAGAACGTATGCAACGGTATTTCAGATTTTACATTCAATTTCATTTTAAAGGACCCCGCACAAACCTTATGGAAAATGGTTCCCGGTCAAATTCGTTCAAACTTTGGGATATTGTTGTTCTGGATGTGCTGATCAAAAGTTCCAATGGGCACGAGGTCCAAAAACTCATAGTTTTCAAGATAGAAAGCGTCAAAGTTGTCTCCACTCGTTGTCTTTGTAACCGTTATTTTAACTCGTTTATAGGTTCAGAACAATACACTAACGTACTATCTGTCCAAATTCAGCTCCGTCTTTTGGTAAACTTAGAGTAACATCATTTAACTCACTCTGATTAAACGTTTGCCATGGTATATAAATGCCATGGTATATATATATGATTGCTAATACAAAAAGCTTTGTAACAATGTTCGCAGATGACAATTCTGTGGCGGTTAAATCGGAATCTATTGCGGCACTTAGTGGCCTTGCATCAAGTGTTGTGATTAGCATGCAAAATTATTGTAAAAATAATAATTTAGCTTTAAATGGCACAAAAACTGATCTGATCGTGTTCAATACTAAAGAAATAAATTGTAGTATATTAGTCAAATTTAACAACAAAACTATTCAACAAAATACTTCAGTAAAATTTTTGGGAGTCCTCTTGGATTCAAAGTTATCTTGGTTAAATCATATTAACGAATTATTGAATAAATTGGCAAAACANTTCTTCTTTAAAGGAAATGGAAAAACGGTATCAGGGTAAGTGGGACATGAATATGATGGTGGACTACTTTTAGAAACAAAAGAGCTCCCTACAGAAAAATGCGTTTCCGGTATATTCTTGGTATATACTTTCCCAGTATATTCTTGAAACAGCCTATATTATGAATTTAGTGAATATTTTCTCGAAAATGGCGGGGTGCTAACGCCAAAATGGCTTCAGATTCGTTTTCAATGGATCTTAAAACATGCCAATAACAGGAATCAAAAGAATAAACCTTTTTGTGTTATTTTTAAAACGATTTATTTAGAGATACTCAAAAGTTCAATTAGTGGGAACTTGTATTCGAAAAAATTGATATCAAAACAGATAATTCTGTTTTGGATAAAAATTGTGCCACCTAAAAGCTGAAGAAGAAAAGTTAATATTTGCTACTGCTAGATTTTTATTGCTTTATACATATAAATGAAAATCTGTTGCAAAGTTTTGGTGTTCCATCTTGACTTTTTGTTTAGATGTATTCGAATAGGAAATAATCACTTGCTTATGGTGAAATCTAAGCGTATTTCTAAATTGTGTTTTATTTGTTGTATCAATTTCCGAAAGCAATACCATTCACATCTGTGTAGACTGGTTTAACAATGTGAAATAAGAATATCCAGTTTTGATCATCTGAAATTAAATAGATTAGTAAACAATTGAACAATGCACCTAGAACAATAAAAGGGACATAATTATTTTTTATTTCCAATTTATTTTTTAAGAGTGTAAAAAACGTTTCCGATGTTAACGTTTTGGTCCAAATTTGGTACGTACTAATTTTGAACGATTTCAAGGTTATTTTTTTAACAATACTTGTATGCTAGAAAGAGCAAGGTAAGGTAAGACAATACCAGTTTTTACCATAAAATAAAAGGGGTAATCGATTATTCCCAGAGGTATCGCTTCATAGCATATCGGCTTTTGACATCTCATTAATATGAACTGCACATCTTTCATAGTCTCATTATCTGCGTTGTACCATTTGGATTCATATAATGCATTGCCGATGGACATACTCTACAAAAGCATTGGTCTTTATTAACTTTTTTAAGTTTTCATGGAAATTAGTCTACCTTGTCTTTGATCCTTTGACCAGCATGGCAATAAGAAAATACGGCAATTAGCCAAGCTATCAAAAGTATAAAGGATCCTATGGGTTTGGTCTAAAACATATTGTATAAAAAGAGCAAAATTAAAGAATCTTTTAATGAATTGAACTTCAGATCTAATAATGATGGTCTTAGAACGGAAAGTTGTTTATTATAAATATTGCAGATGTTGTGTAATGTGTAATTCCTTCTAATATTTGTTTACGGGTGGATATATTAAGTACACGAGCAATATTACGTCAATTAACAAGCCAAATAAGTTGAAAGCGATCCAGTAGAACCGACTGAGGAAAGGAAGGTATCACCATCAAATAGAATAGTTTTAAGAAACGGCACTGAACCTTTTCAAGATTGTCAATATATAGTGAATAATTATTGAGGCATATTCTGTTTTTGATTAACCAGGGTAATGTATAGTTTTTTGAAAGAAATATTTTTAGAATTAATAGTATTTCTGATTACAAATCCTACAGAGATATATGCGTTATTAATTATACAGGGTGGTTCGAATTTTATGCAGCAAACTTCGAGGGCAGACAGATCTCTTTAAAATAGTAGGTGTTTGCTTTATAAGCATAGATCTAGAACGGTATCGTTTTAAAGGTAATGAAATTTGGTACAGATAATAGTAGGCCTTGCATTTCCTAAAATATGAGCTCTAAAGTACAGTGGTGTACAACTGGATAGGAGTCACCCTCTTTTTATAAAAAAAACCTACGCCACTGTATATTTACAGTACAGTTACAAGTTATTGTAACAGATTTATATTCTAATGCACTAAAAACGTAAAAAAGGTAACTTGATTTTTTTCCCTAAGATTCGCCGTTCTCAAGTTATTCATACCAATACAATCCCCTTATCCCAATATCTGAATTTATATAATTTTGTATTGGGTTATTATAAGAATTCTGAAAGAAATTTTAAATATTAGAGGGACATCTAAGATACTCGTTATTGGACACCATTGGATACAAAAAATTAATAGAATTTGTATAATTTAGATAATTCTAAGAACGAGAAAGACCCTGACCTATAATATATTAGGTTAGGAAAATAAACCGGGAAATAACCATTTTGCGACTTTTTGTTTCTGCAAGCTGAATTTATCACTATAGATGCTAAATATTATGTACAATAACATACTAGTTTCCACAGTCATAAAAATGGGAGGAAGATTGTTTACAGGGTGGTTAATTGTATAATGTTTACGTAAATTAACGTTTTTCGCTTATAACTTTTTTCCGTTCACTTCCACGAGAAAACAGTAATGTACTTTTTTTTTCAAAAGACCTACAAAACTAGCCCTCGAGCGTTAAAAAATATTGATTAGATCAAAAGTTATAAACAGAAGAATTTTTATTATGACTTTTCAATTAAACATTTATAAACTGGGTTATTATTACCAGAACGTTTTGACATCGCATCCTCTCATTCCTTATCACTGTCAAATAACTCACACGAAATGTGGAACCGGTAAGTTGAATAGTTTACAAGTTATGGCCTTATAAACAAATTAACTAATTATTAGTCTGGATCCCGAGGATCTTCCACAATCGCACTATTTTTTTTCAAGATAGATTTCATAATAATACGTTGAAATCTATCATTTTTTTTTAATTTCAAATTTGCAACATGGAAATTTTTTTATTTTTTAGCCTTAGTTGCAAAATGAAATATACGACGCATGAGGGTGATATAGTTATATATTATTCGGAAAGCTTATGAAAAGACCTTTAAGTTAAAAAAATCGTCAAGATTCGTTGAAAAACAACGGAGTTACAGACTGTCAAAGTTGACGGCCGATTGTTAAACAAATTAGGTTGGTAGCGGCAAAAGAAAATACTGTCACAACCGACAACCCGAGTACTTTCCCAGGTAAAAATATTTTATTTGTGGAAGTATGTTAAGTGCATAAGAAATATTGTCAAAAGTCAGTGGGTAGCTTGATTTTCGGCGAGCCTTGGCGCGGCGGAAGGGTGGGGGAAACGAACGACAGCGAGTCCGAAGAAAATTACGATAATATTCATAGTCCTGCCGTTAAATAAGGGAAATTCGATTGAAAATAATATATTTGACAGTCTGTAACTCCGTTGTTTTTCAACGAATCTTGACGAGTTTTTTTTTTAACTTAAAGCTGTATTCATAAGCTTTCCGAATATATAATAATATATAACTATATCACGATCGTGCGTCGTATATATATATTTTGCAACTAAGGCCAAAAAATAAAAAAAAATCCAGGTTACAAATTTGAAATTAAAAAAAATAATATATTGCAATGTATTATTATGAAATCTACCATGAAAAAAGTTAGTGTACATAATATTTAGCATCTATAGTGATACATTCAGCTTGCCGAAACAAAAAGTCGCGTCCAACTCTGTATTTCCCGGACTAATATATTGACTATGCAATCTGTAAACATCCACTTTAACTGACCGCTCTTATTTTGAATTGATCAAGGAATGATATGTCCTTGATTCCTTTATATTAAAACATTTAGATTTCTGTCTAATATTAAATATCAGATTAATATTAAACCAAGGAGGATATACACTGTGATCCATGTGTTTAGTAACGGATGCTTGAAATATAGAAGCAAGTTTATTATGAAGTTGATTTACTACGGTGTCAATACCACTAAATTCATTGATAAATTTGACAGCTAATAAAGACTTATAAAGCTAGCTTTCCCGAAATTTAAACTATTAGCAGGTTAATATTACATTTGATGAATAGTGAAGGATGATAATTATCTTCATCTATTAAGACATCCATACTCTTTTCAACTAATTGTAAGCTGTCAATATATCCTTCAATGAATCGGAAAAACTATAAAAAAATAATTAGTAAGGTTTAAATAATGCAGTACTTACAGTTAACATTTGATTGGCCATACAACCGCAAACCAAGGCAGACAACAGGGACACGTGCCCAACTGTATATTTTACAAGTGAACGAAGACGGTATCCCAGTCTAAAACGAAAAATTTTAAGTGGGAAACTGCACATACAATTTTATACCCAATTTTACAAAAACGATCAGAGTACCTACTTGAGTATGTGGACATGGTAACCGATGCAAAACCGAAGCCTATTTCTCATTTCTACCCTCGATGATGCTCCAAATGTTTCCTTGAAGTTATCATTCAAGTGACTGATATAACATATCAATATCTCTGTTGACTCGTATATTATGAAGCTTTGAATCAGATATGTCTGACATGTAAGAATTCCACTGAAGATAAATTGCATTGTAAAAATGATGGTACCTGCAGTTAGATTATTGGCACCGAATGGTAGCCATATTGGGACCACTACAGGGCTAATTTGATTAAAATCTTCCTTGAACTCTTTGTTGAATTTGGTGTTGTACCAAGCTACCAAGCCGTAGATGAATATGACCATTGAGGAACCGAAGATGCTAATGTGTCCGAGACGATTTAAGAAGTTTACGGTTTTTTGGTAAGAAGCTGGTTTGCCGAATTTTTTTAAGTCTTCGAGATCTTTGAAAATGTTGGACCAATGTTTGTATTTTAAAGTAAATAATACATTTACTAGAAATGCTGCAGTGCCAGCTATAATGATAGAAGCCGCCTCGCTTATATCAGTTTCTGAATGAGCTGTAATAAATATATAGTTATACCTATCTTTGTTTAAAAAACTAAACTATTTAGCTAAACACGATTCTACTCTTACGTTTACTTACTCACTATTATAACTATTAGAAACAGTAAAGGCCCAATAGTAGTAAAGAAGAAGCTAACCACCTTCGACAGCAAATAAATTGCGACGAACTTCTTCAGATAAGACTTATCCATAGAGACAGGAATTTGATACGTCATCTTCAAATAGTTTAGGCTGTTTGAAAAAGCTCCATTCTTCTCAATTTTGTACATAATGAGGTTTTCGAATACAAAAGTATCCTCTAAATAATTTTAATTAGTTCGTCGGTAACAAAGCGTCTATTTTAACAGTAGATCGCCTGTTGGTGTATCGAATGTTATCCTTTATATGTTCCTCAAATGTTTTTAAATATATATTTAAATTCTATGACTCTTATCGCTTCCTATTAATTTGCATATGATACTGTTAAATATTTATGTGTTTTATTTACATGTGAATATAATTACTTCTTTAAATATTTAGATGCAATTTTCTATGAATGTATCAATAATATAGTCCTACTTAAGAAAAGACGGAATGTTATTGAGATTTAAATTAAATTAGATAACTTTTCGAGTTTTATTTCATAAATTTAATGTTTATGTATATGTATATAGAAATATTGGGTATTTGAAAGAAAATGTATGCTTGATTTTTATTTTGAATAGTGTAGATTAAAATAGTCCTAGGTAATTGAAAGAATTACGCTATGTTTTAAAACATTTATGTAAAACTGATCTAAAAGCTATGTAAATATGCTGCGCATTCTCTGTTGGTAGGAGAAACGTCTATAGCGATTATTGAAAAAGTTTTTAATCACCTAAAAATGAGTAATATTAATATCGATATACAATAAATATAGTTCTTACCATAAAATAGAAATCATAATCTTATTCCCGTGTCTTATCTTATACAGGGTGATTCAAAACTTATAAAAAAAAATTTGAATGTACAGGAGACTCTTACAAATACAATTTTGTAAAAGAAAATCGAAAAGGGCAGTTTGAAAATGATGATGATCCACTTCTGCACAGCACTGAAAAAAAAAAAAAAATTAATTTCTTTCCCAAGGAAAGATATAAATAAAATTTTATAACTGCAAATTCAACTGCTTTTGTCGCTATTGTTATTATTAATTAATAAAATTAATTTGTGATTTTTATTAATAAAATAATTTGACATACCTACATGACATTACAACTGTTCAAAATTTTGTTCACCGACGTGTAAACACATTGTTCGTCTTACCCAGTTTCTACAAACTAACACAAATGTTGTTTTGCTTCACCATAACACAAATGCTTCACCATAATACAAATGTTGTCTTTTTTCACCATAAAATAAAACGATATCCATCAACTCCCGAGTTGCTATACACGTAAACTATTTTTGATACGTGAAAAACTAATGTAAACACTATGGCAAAAATGTAAATACTAACATCGGAATCGTCTGGGGCCACGTGGAGAGAGAGCGCATTGCACACAACGCGAATGGCGCTAGAGACTACAGTAACTTCAATAATTTCTTTCTCGGAAACTAAGGATTTTACAAACATTTTTTTACGATACTGACTCAATTTTTCATGACGCATATTGTGAATCATCCTGTGTTATATATTAGGATGTTGATGACAAAAATCTCACCATTTTTCACAGCGCATCCGATGGTAACCTTGACCTTGACGTTAGGGTCGAGCTTCAAGGTCATATAGTAAAAAAGCAATCTACTTTTACAAAATTATTTTTCATTGCAGTTTCGTTTTCTGCTACTCGGTTACTTTTATATAACTGGCTTAAAGTGACAGGTAACAACAACTGTCAACATTGCACTGTGTGGTATAAAGAGCTTATTTTTATACAAATAATTAAATATTTATTTTGTAAACTATTAAAATTTTGATATCATTTTTTAATTATATATTCACAGTATTTATATTCAAATTTTTAGTATTGATAAGTTACATTTATGCTGAAATGAATTAAGTATATAAAAAATGAGGGAACTTCCACAATTTATAAAAATAAAATATAAATCAATCTCTCTGTTATTATTTATTTGTATTCCTTCTTGTCTTCCTCTTCATCTTCTTCTCGAAAATGTTTGTTAGAGGAAGTGGGAAAATGGTATCAGGTAGGATATGAATATGATGGACTACTTTTGAAGACAAAAGAGTTCGCTACAGACAAAAACTACCGAACACTTTTACCCTAAATCGGATACCTTTCCAATGAAACACTCTATGTATAAATTTAGTGTATATGTTTTCGAAAGTGGTGAGTGCTAGCACCAAACTGGCTTCAGATTCGTTTTCAATTTATCATAAAAAATGCCACTAACAGGGTCTGATCAAAATAATGAACTATCTTTTTGTGTGCCTGCGTTATTTTTAAGACTACTTTTGGAGATACTGAAAAGTTCAACTAGTGAGAACTGATATTCGAAAAAATTCATCTTTTGGTTAAAAATTGTCCCACCTAAAAGTTGAACAACAGTTGATACTTGCTGCTGCTAGATTTTTATTGCTTTATAAATCTACATAGGTACAACCATCTGTTGCCAATTTATGGTGTTCCATCTTGCCTTTTTGTGTAGATGTAGGTATTCCAATAGAGAATAATCATGAGTATCTCACTTGCTTATGGTGAAATCTAAAGTTGCTAATTTTAAATTATGATTTATTTGTTGTGTTAATTTCCTAAGCTATTCATATCTATGTAGAATGATTTAACAATGTGAAATAAAAATATCCAATTAATAGTTTTTCTGATTACAAATTCTACAGTTATATGCATTATTAGTTATATTATAAATAAATATGATTGTTAAAGCTTAATTTCTTTTCCCAAAACTATTCCTGTCTAAGGGAACTTTATTAGTGAGTGGCGAGTGCATAATCAAACGTTATCATATTTTGTATAGTAGTATATGATAGAACATTATATTTATCGGGATTTAAATATATATTATTTTTTTAAGTCTTCGAGATCTTTGAAAAAGTCGGACTATCGTTTGTATTTTACAGTAAATAATACATTTACTAGAAATGCTGCAGTGCCACCTATAGTGACAGAAGTCGCCTCGCTTATATCAGTTTCCTATAATAAAAATAGAGTTCTACCTATCTTTGCTCAAAATAATTTAGGCGTAAAACTATTTAGTTAAATACGGTCCTACTCTTACGTTTATTTTGGTACTCACTATTATAACTATTAGAAACAGTAAAGGCCCAATAAGAGTAAAGAAGAAGTAAACCATTTTTGTTAGCAAATAAATTGCGACGAACTTCTTCAAATAAGACTTATTCAGAGAGATGAACATTTAATTTTGAAAACAACTCCTTTAAATATTTAGATGCAGTTTTCTCTGAAGGTATTAATAATATGGCCCTTCAAATACTTAACAATAAATGGAATGTTACTGAAATTTAAATTAAATTAAGTAACTTTTTTTAGTTTTATCAAATACTTTTAGTGTATACAAAATATATAGAAATGGCAGGTATAGGAAAGAAACACAAGTCATCCTTGATTTTTATTTTGAATAGTGTAGATTAAAATTGCCTTAATTGAAAGAATTATGGTGCGTTTATGCAAAACCGAGCTAAAAGCTTCCTAATTATGCTGTGAATTCACTACTAGTAGGAGCAATATGTATATAGTTTATAGCGACTGGCGAAAAAGTGCGAAAAACGAATATCCAGTTTTAATCATCTAAAAATAGATATTATTAATCTCGATATAGAATAAATATAGTTCTTACCATAAAATAGAAGGCATAGTCTGTTACTCCCATAGGTAAAGCTTCAAAACATATTGGTTTTTGACATCTTAGCAGTATGAACTGCACATCTTTCAGAGTTTTAACATCTGCCTTATACCATTTAGTGTTCCATATAGCATCAGCAATCGACAATGTCTGCAAAAGATTCAGATGTATTGTACTTGATTTGTTTCTTTTTCATTCACTGCCAAATTTGATTTCGTCTTATTAATAACTTGAAGGTACATTAAAATATACCTTGTCCTTGATTCTTTGTCCTGAATGACAGAAGCAGAATAAGGCAAATAACCAGGCAGCCAAGAAAAATAAGGATCCCATGGGTTTGGTCTAAAAAAATAAATTGTAGTGCAATACAATCCTTTTGTTGCTATATTGAATAATAATGAAATAATTAACATACGTTCAACATTTGGTTAGCTACACATCCACACACCAATGCAGACAATAGAGACATATGTCCAGCTGTGTATTTGATAAGTGAACTAAGACGATATCCCAAGCTGAAACAAATTATTATTCATCATTTTCCTTGTAACATTTACAGTGATATCTGTATTAGCTATGTGACAATAATTGTTATTGCTTTTAATAAATAAATAAGAATTTAATGCCACAACTTATTTATAGCCATTATTTATTTTCTATTTTGTCTAAAAATAGTCTTCAGGACGATTTTAAAAGAGACTTCAGCAACTCAAGATAGAGGTAAGGTTAGTTAAATCTCCTAATTTAGATTTTTCGGAAAACTGTGTTAGACCACATAAAAATAACTACAGATTCGAGCTCAATACCATTGATACATCAATTGGCAGAGTAGAAAACATTTCTTGAAGATTTTAAAATGTTACGTTATAGTAAAAATTACTAAGATTTGATTGTTATGTACTTATTGTTAGTAGGTACCTACTTCAGTATATAAACGTGGTAATCGACGCATAAACGAAGCTTATCCCTGGTTTCTACTGAAAACGGTGCATCTAAAGTCTCCTTGAGCTGGCTCTTCAATTCGCTAATGTGGCATATAAATATCTCCGTGGATTCGTACATGACGAAGCATTCGGCGAGAAACGATTGTGCTATCAAACAACCAACGAAGAAAGTTTGTAGTACAAAGACGACTGTACCTGCAGCTACATCGTTGGTGCCAAAAGGCAACCAAATAGGGATAAACGTAGGGCAAATCTCACCAAACTTCCCTGGGTCGTTGGTGTCCTGACAGCCTTTGGAACTGAACCAAGCTGCTATAGCGTAGGTGATGGTAACCCACCAAGCGCAGAAGAAGCATATTTTTCCTAAGTGGTTGAGACGTGTTGCCCTGGCTTGTAAATTTCTTGGCCTGGTGTATTGTCTCGTGTCTACTAAATCTTTGAAAAAGTTGGACCAGTTTTTGTATTTCAGTGTGAATAATAAGGAAACTATTCCTCCTCCAGAAGCTCCAAATATGATGGAGATGTCCTCAGTTACGTTTGTACCAGAATTTCCTGAAAAAAAGTCAAAAGAATGTAAGAACACACAGAAAAACAAAGCTCTGAGGTTTTACTTACTCATTATTGATATTATTAGATGCAATATTGGTCCAATAGCAGTACAGAATAAGCCGACGACTTTTGACATTAAAAATAACGTAATGAATTTTCTCATGTATGATTTTTTCATTGAGACTGGAATTTGGCGCATTCGACTCAAATAATTTAAGCTTGTATAAAATGGTTCTTCTCTTTCTGCTTTATACATTATGAGTGAAACCAATTGGCTGTTTCGTCAAATTGATTTGAAGAAATGTTTTTTTATTTAAGAATTTCTTGCTACGAGAAATATATTTCCCATTTGATGATTGCAACCAGGTGCTTAAGAATGACTAAAAATTTGTACTTTAATGTTTAGGTGATGGAATATATTAAATACTTATATCAAAACTTTGGAAGTATATACTTATTACATTTTACTGTACGAATATAGGAAGGAAGAATTATTAATCATTCATAAATTAATACTACTTAACATTTTCTGAAAACAGCCTAATAGAAATTAGTCATTCGTTATTTTTTTTATTATGATTACGCGAGAAAAGTCTAAGGCTTTTATTTTGTTTTCACTTAACAATGTTTATAATAAGATGCAACTAAATAACGTATAAATATTGCAAGACCAAACCGCCTGTTTTTTATGTACCTATAATTATACAAACTACTACAAAGAAATACGAACTTAACTCTAGTTTCAAATAGCTAACCACTATACTAATTGTACTATTATTGAACTGTATTATTCATATTAATAATAATATACTGTTTGTCTACAATATATTTTACTAAATTATTCACTGAAATGTTCAGGTTCTTAATAATTTACAATTATCTATTTTATTCTTGCAAAATGCTTACCAATAAATGATCAAATGAGTCAAAGTAAAACTTGAAGTTCTCATTAGAAAACCAATTTTCGATATTACTCACGAATTTTATTCTGCTAGTTGCTGAAAATATAATTTTATTCAAATCTCGGGTCTCTGTTAGTTGTTATTCTCTCCTGATACTCATTAAAGTTATCTGACAATTACGGGTGATATAGTTCAGATTGATAGCTGGAAGCAAAGTGTTACCCAACTTTTAATTTTAAAATCATCGCACTCGTTTTTCTGAGATTAACACGGCTAGATGAACATCTTTCTCTCTAACTTAAATTAGTTTCGAGGAACAGTTTGCGGATTTAGGTATAACGAATAAGTTTTAAATATATAATCCGGGGCTGTTTTTACTTCTTTGCGCTGATTCTGTCAATTTTCAGTAACAAGAAAAGTAATTGAACATGCTGTAATGCCTCTGGTGGAACACGGAGCAGATCTGAATAAAAAAAAAGAAAACGAGATGCTATCTAGTATTAAAGTATTACGTAATTAAGAAGAGAAACGATATTGTAGTACAAAGGCGTACAATCATTATTATTTTTAGTATAAAGTTGAACATTGACAGACTTTTAATTTGTAATATTCCTTCCAGGAAGAGATATAAGTGCATTAAAAAGAGGGGAAAAGTATATTTTCGTCTAGGTTTGGAGACGATACTGGCCGGTAATTGTAAAATATTCAACTCCGGTTTTTAATACTGAAAACTGAAAAGTTCTCCGAATGATAAGGAATTCATTCGAATTGAAGAACATCGACATGCAGACAAACCACCACACAGAACGACAATCCCAGAGTCCAACGGAGGTCGAATCCATCTCAGAAGAAACGAATTTCAGAGAGACCAAAAGTGGAATCCTAAGGCGAACATCTCTGTAGAACGATTCCGGAGCTGCTATGGCGTGTGATTGAACGTCTACCCAGATATTAATTATTTCTCATTGCATTGTCTCTGCACGTGATAAACATAGTTATACAGAGTGATTCAGAACTTATCCAAAAAAAATTTGGATGTACAGGGGACCCTCACAAATACAATTTTGTAAAGAAAAAATCAAAAAGGGCAGTTCGAAAATGATTTAAAAATACACTTCTGCACGGCACTGGAAATTGGTCCACTGTAAAACCTGACCTCGCACAATATGACCGGCATGACGGTGTGATAAAAAACGGACAAAAACTTTCGCAAGGAAAGAAATATGTAAATAGAATTTTACCGCACCTATTTTATATCGGCAAATTCAACTGCTTTTGCCTTTATTAATTAATAAAATTAATTTGTGTTTTTAAATAATAAAATCATTTGACATACCCGATGTTACAACAACAATAATTGTTCAAAATTTTATCCACCAACGTGTAAACACATTTGGGTCCATCTTACTCAGTTTCTACGAACTAACACAAATGTTGTCTTGCTTCCTCATAAATTAAAACGATATCCATCAACTCCGAATTGCTATACACGCAAACCATTTTTGACACTAACTACTAAAAAAACTATTGTAAACACCACAGATTACAGGTAAATACTATCGTAACGACGATTGCGAAATCCGATTTCAGTATTCGGAGTCGCTGAAGCCACGTGGCTCTCCACGCGTATCGCGAATGACGCTAGAGACTACAGCTGTCCAGCTATGTAGTGGTTGAATGTACTATAACTTCAATAATTTTTTTCTCGGAAACTAAGGATTTTACAATTTTTTTTTACGATATTGACTCCATTTCTCATGCCGCATCTATTGCCAAATTTTTTTGGATAAGTTGTGAATCACCCTTTATATTTTTTATACACTGTTATCAATAAATCAAGTTTTTTTGTCAAAAATTTCCAAATTTCTTTGCTCAGGAGTTTGAGTATACGGCGAAGATTCCACCGAATACATCAAGCTCCAAGAAGCTTCCAAACCATAGGTATTTTAAGGAGTCCTACATAAAGTACATATTTAGCCAAGGCCAAGCCAACAAAGCAAGTGATAAAGACTCTAGAGTACTCATATTCGAACTGACTAAAACATTTTTAGCAGGAAAAGGCTTGGTTGACTTTAATTTATGGGGACATATGAAGCAACTTGTTTACCATGTTGAAATCATCTACCATGTTGAAATCACTACCCGCCAATGTAAGGCGTGCATTCGAGCCGGGGGTGGATATTTTGAAGAATTTTTATAGTCGTAAGATTTTTTAATTTGATTAATAAAGGTTGACTAATGTATAACCTCAATTAATATTGTTAAGGCAATCATCATGTTTATATATCAGGGACCTTTGATGGAAATATGAATCTAATCAAAAACGAATCGGACAGGGTGTAAGAAATTTGACTGCCATTACTTCAGCATGAGATAGAGTAATCATAAATGAACAAAAAAGTTGTATATTACAGAGGCGTAAGATTAACAGTTTCCAAAATACAGCGAGTATTAATATTGGGCAGTTTCACCATAACGTGACAAGGACGCTACACAGCTGATGCATACCACGTGTGCACGCGGCAGACTTGTCCTATGGAAAAAATGTAAACAACTATTATTGTGAAACATTTAGTAAATTTTGTTTTCCAGTATTTAAATAAATAAAATAAAATGTATCGATTTTGTAGTATTAAGATAGTGTTGAGCTTAAATTTTAGCTCGAATTTTAGTAATTATGAATCTCTTAAAACAGGAACTTTACTTCTAATCAAATTGTCAATATTCCTTAATTAATCGAACTTTTGTGGTTCAAGTTGGAGATTTTGATCATTCTCTTCTCGGAAATTAGTTAAGTTTAGGACCCATGCCATATAAGGTTTTTTTGTTTATTTTAATGTATTTTATCGTCTGTTAACATTAAGGCAGTCAAACTTCTAACATCCTGTATAAGAAAAAATATATAAGAAAACAATGTTTGAAATTAATCCAGCTACCATCCAAATTTATCATAGAGCTTGTGGAACACCCTGTATTTTTAACCAACTCTTAACAAAAACTGCATTATTACAAAAACTTAAACCAATCGATAAATAAATCTCACCCTGAAGTAAAGCACAATTTCATCGTGTCATTTTCACCAGGATAGACTTATTATTTTGTAAAAAAAACTGCTATAGGACATAATCCACCTTTCCGACTCGACAATTGATCTAACGCTGTTATTATATCCAGAAACTGCAGGACTTAAATGTTAAATTTGGAAGCTTCGGTGTTAATTTTAAATTCAGAAAGGGGCTTTTGCGTGTCGTAGAGATTCGTCTTTATTTAGACGATTCCGGTCTACAGGAGTGAATAAATCCAAATTACAAGCAACTTCTTCTAGACTACGTCACTACGACTTCGTTACACCAACGAAGATATAAATTTATGTAAATCTCACAATGGACGGGCGGAATCACATTTTTAAATATGCACGGTTAATTCACTCACTCCATTCTCCATTTGGGGGCAGATATGCATCACTGTGGAACAGCGAGGCAGTAAAGATTACGGCTTTTGAACTGTTGTCGCTGAATTCTCGACGATTACGTCTTTTCAGTTAGCCGCTTTGAAAACTTTGAATGGATGTCTAATAAAAATTAAAATCGTGAATGGCGAAAAATATTTGAGCACTACCGTGCGCTTACAAAAACTTTGAATCACCTTTTCATCTTTTTTTAAAGTAATTATTTATTGTATTTTTAATTGTCTTATCAGTTATATAAAACGAGAAGAAAAAGAGTAACGAAGCTTTATTTAAATTGGAACACCATGCATGAAAATGTTAAGTATTTTTGGTAAACTTTGGTCAACAAAATTTGGCATGTCACCCTGTATAGTAATTAACATTTATGAAAAGTATAGTGATCATTTGTCTGAGTACATGTTAAAAAGATAATTTGCTGTTACAAAGTTTTATAATTTAGGTATAGTCATTTTCACTTTTTGGTCTATAAAATCACAACTATCTCGTGACTTTCCTCAATAGTCGCACTCTGACCCTAAATGAAAATCTAATCAAACTAATTGCTCATAAAGCCTGTAAAACGTTGCGGAGCGAATGAAGTTGAGGTCCAATGTTCGTGAGGATAAAAGATTACCGCTGAAAATTACTGAAAGCAAGCTGTCTCGAATGGCAACTGTTTAAATGGACTGAATTTGCAATTGAAATCGACTCAATTGAACA